TTCAGGTGATCTCAAAGAGGCCAGATGGTTGAAATGTAACTCTTGCTTGAATTCAAATGAGCTTACTATTAAAGTAAAGATTGATTATGCTGACCAGTAATGTGGTGGCCACATCCCCCACTACACAACTAAATGACTTTTCACCGTTTGGTCCCGTTCCAAGTTAATTATCCGATAGACCGTGGGTTTATTGGTGAAAAATATATCGGTAGCTCATCTGCATGTGGACCAACAGCCTATAAGCTGTGTTGGTTTTGGCATTATAGAGTCTGGTGAGTTATTAGCTATAAGACAAACATTCCACAGCTTATCTGTGTTTGCTCCAGCAGTGTCAGTGAAGCAACGTCACTTCCTGTGACAGACGGACTCGGAAAATAAGCGTCTTTAAGATTTACCTTTTGGACTGTAACGTAGCTTTTTCAGCCAATACAATCAATGTCTAGCAGCTCAATGTAGACACCTGATAACATGAAAGGAGCTGTAGAAGTGTTTGAACAGACAATACACACTAAAATCAACCGTTCAATCAGAACAATGAAGAGTCTGGTCAGTGTTGAGCCGGAGCAGTAGGTGCTACAGGCTGACTTGAGACAAATTGTTTGATCCCAAAGTTTGAGTTCAAATATCTGTGAAATTACAGGCAGATACTGTTACACATCTGCTGGAAACGATGCTAATGAGAACAGATAGTGTGTTAAGCAAATCAGCAAAGTTGCAGGCCGTTAAACCTAAACAATGAGCTGAGATGAGGGGAACTGCAACTGCATGACACCTTTGACATAACACATACTAATCTAATTAAATCCATTGTTTTTATAAAAATATTGATCACAGCAGCTAAAAATTCTTTACATGTACTGTTGCAACAATATACAGAACAGGGTTTCCCCCAAAATGCAATTTAGTCATTAAATTACGATAATAACAACAGCTATAATTGTTCAATATAAGGAATTTGATGTTTTATATAACACCTCTGCTCATCTTCTCAGATGGTTCCTGCTTTATTTCGGCCAACAGCTTTTAGTTGTTCCAAAAACAAAAATGGCCGACCGGTCCCTCTCTGAGCTCTGGAACAACCTTCCCCTTCATTTGTTATCCACCTTACCAATGTTTAAAAGCGGTTTAAAAACATATTTATTTTCCCTGGCCTATCACCTTTGATCTTAACATGGTACTTTGTGTGACTTTTGTGTCAGTTTGTCTTGATTTGAATGTTGCTTACTGTTATTAATCCAGTCTTTTGATTGTATGACTGCTTATCTGCTGTATGTGCAGCACTTTGGGCAACCGTTGTTGTATTTAAAAATGTGCTATTCAAATACATTTTGATGATAAAAGTTCATCACTTTGTTATGATGGTTGCGTGCTTCAAAAACCAATCAGCCTGAAAGATGCTAAAATGCTCTGTTGAGTTAGAGGGAACTGCAAAATTTTGGGGTGACAACTGTTTTCGGATTTGTCACGAAAAGCAACACCCAAACTCATCTGACCCATCGTTAAAATAAAAAAATTGATGAGTGCAGCTTTAAATATGCTGCATTTGCTGTGTAAGATAGCGACACAATGATCATTTTATCAAACAAACGAGTATTTTCTGACATGTTCTGTTATCTCTGCTACAGGTTGATGCTGCGGACGATCTAAACTGAGGCTCTATTGTGAAACTGACATAAATGAGGTAATATATGACATGCTGTACGCATTGCTCTCATTTGCACACACACTCTGATAAAGAAGCAGTATGATGGGTGCAGCGGTTAGACTTGCTGACAATAAAGTCATCCAAACCTGTCCCAGCACATACATGAGTTATAGCCTTGTCAGGAGAAGATGAGTCCGAGTGTGGGAATGTTGAGCTGGAGTAGAACTGGGCCCCGAGTCCCGTCTCCTCTTTGTGAACGAGTGAACTGCCTGATGTGAAGCAGCCGAGGTTAGATGCTGCCTAAATGCATCGGACTAGCTGCGACTGGTTTCATGCAACCTGTCTTGACTCACAGAGGGAGTAAACGATGATCTATAAAAAGCTCAGGGGAAAGTATTTTCACTCACTATCATAAATAAGGAGAGTCGTATTAGGTTTAATACCAATCAGCACATTCTGACACGTTGGTTGACTAAAGAAGAATCTTTAGAGTTGTCTTTTTCACGTTTGGTTCTTTGTTACTTGAGCACACCTAATTATCATTTGAAAGGTGCGCTTCAGAACTTTAGAGTCTCTCTGAGAAGGTTGGTGTCTCTAACTTCAGTTTGTTATGCAGTTTATTCCAGTAGCAATGCTCACAATACCTGAAACTAGTCTTCCCCAGTTCAACAATCTTCAAGGTGTGCAGTTATTGTTTTTTTTTTATTGTTCCAGGATTTTACGTGGTGAAAACCTGAAACCTGAAGTTAGTTCAAGTGTTTAGGGTGTCAAGTCTGAGAGCAGTCAAGTCCATGTCCTCTTTTTTTGTGACTTAAGTCTCACGTCTACAGCTCTGGACTGACGTATACGGTGTAAATGGAAATACTGCTAAATAGTGCAAGGCAAGTTAATATGACCAACCAGAGATTAAATTTAAAGTTGAAGTCACTTTATTTGTGTCATCTAGTCTTCTTCTGACAGACTCTGTGGTCATTACATGTCATTGTCACTGCACACTTTACTTATTGTTACTAAACTTTCGAAACGCTCGCTTTTACTGCTAATTTGTGCAACTTATTTTAAATATTTTTCACTGGTGGATGAGTTGGTCGGCATGGTTTTGTGGCCATGCTGCAGGCTGCAGGCCACATTTTTCCCATGCAAAAAGAAAACAAGTGGAAAACAACGACTCCTATGCAAGGACTACCTGTGCAACTTTAACTTTAGTTGAGTGCAATAGCATTAACTTAACATACTCACCTATGCACGTGATGGCAAAGCCCTGAGGGGGTTTGAGGGTCCGTCTTGTCCACCCGTTCCTGAGGACCTGCAGATGAACTTCTTTGCCCTGAATCAGCAGCACATGCTCATCAATCCAGCCGAGGAAGAAGATCTCAGACAGCGCGTGTGTCAGCGCCTTGTTCCAGAAATGCTGCATGTTTACGGATTTGAAATTCGCGAATACCTCGTAGCCGGAGTGAGGCTGTACCTTCACGGAGAGTGGTGGTGGTGGTGATGGTGATGATGATAGTGGGGAGTCCCCTTCATCTTCTCCGCGAACCCGCGACAGCACCAGAGCCAGAGAGTGCGGAGCGACGGGAAGGGACTTCTCCATTCCTCGTTTCAGAGTTCACGGTGGTCCGCATGGAAATGAAAGAAAACTTACTGTTTCTTCACTGTAGGAAGTTGTTTTTAGACCACCGCATGTCTTAACGTTTCTATGGCTGGTGGTCTTAAACTGGTTCAGACATATTAAAGAAATGGACCGCAAGAGTAAAAACACGCTGCGCTGCTCCACAGTTTGCAGCACGACGTTATAAAAGTGAAACACAGGTGCTTCATGTAAAATCAGGGATATAAGCAACCTGACACGCCGTCCGCAGCAGCCAACTAACCCAATGTCAAAGAGTATTAGGGTCTATTTACAGCGACAAAGAGGCGGACTTGTGCTGCGTTCATGGCCCACACGTAAACTCCCATTTCACACTTTTGGAAGACCATCAATGTGAGCCAATGTGTGGAAATTGTTAACCAATGTTATGCTGATCTAATTGTTAACAAAAATAACAATCGATTTGATGTATGACTGAAAACACCAAAAGAAGTTCAGCAAAGATTTGGCTTAACAACACACTCCAATGGCACAAAGATGTGGCCAGCAATAAGAAACACCTGCACGATTCAGTGTAAAATCTACTTCAACTTTATTTTCACCAAAGGGACATTTGTTCTACTGCAAGCTCACACAGAACAGACACAGATTTATATATAAAGCATAATAATAATCATATATGTAAATCATATTTTAATCAATCAATTAATCGTTTATCAAATGATTAATAAAAGTACATTTTCAAGTTTTTGCAAAACTTCCCCCAGGTCACTACGATTGACAAAAGCAACACAACTTTGATTAGTCCCAAAACGGTCAAGTTAAATTCAGAATTGTCCTTTATTAAATTAGGACCAGAAGGCAACCTCTAGTTCTGAAGAATTCTGCATTCTCTCTCCTGAGCAGCAGGGGGCGACTCCTCTGGTTGCAAAAATAAGTCTGTTTAGAAGTCTGAGAAAATGACTTTTACTTCTCACTTGATTTATTACTTCAATAAACATTGTAAACATGAGTTTATGGTCTCAGTCGCTAGTTCCAAGTCTTCTTCAATACAGCATGATGTTAATTTATAAATTATGGTCCATTTAGAGTCAAATACACCATAAAGCAGAGTAGGGAGGACAGTCTATTAGGGCTGATTTCAAACTGTAGTTGGCGTTTTGAGCCATTTACAAATCATGGAAATACTAACACCAGGATTGATGCGTTTCATCACGTAACGTTCATATTTTAGTTTATAGCTTAATCTTTAAATCTGAGAATGTATGGCTTAATGAAAACAATCATACAATAAAGCGAATACAATCACATGAGCTAGGAATGATTTAGTATTGTGTATCATGCAGATTTTATCCCAAGACTATATTCTTAACATTAACAAAGGTGAACAAATTGCAATTTGTTAAATCTACTTAAGATTGGAGTTGTATATTGGTCTGTGTACGTTCAACAGGTAAGTGGCCTGTCGTGTGTGAGAGCTAGTTGAGGTGAAGAGAGTCTGTGCTCGCAGTGAAGGAATCTCAGGCCCAGTTTTATTTGGCCCAGGGCCTCAGGATACGGTGGCCCAGTTCTTCTCACCTCGCGGCAAATCTGGAGTAATCCTGGTTGTTTACACTCAGTGTGCACAAGTAGACCCGTTACTGTGTGTGTAGACGTTAGCTCTGTGAGATATGAACACTGGCCAGATTTGATGAGAATTGAGCATTTTAACTTCAGTAATGAAACTCGATGTTATTGTTACACTGACTCTGCTGTACAACCGAGAACAATGAAAAGTGGTTTTTATTTTTCAGAAAAAATAACATTACACCAACCTCACAGTATCGCTGCTTACAAAATACGAATGAAAAAAAAAAAAAAAGCCCAAAGTGATGCTCATAGCAAAGTCAAGTATATTGATACGACATAAAACCTGGATTGTCAAACAGTGAAGTATTTTAACAGCAAAATTGATTTCAGCTAGTTTGCTGTAAATATTGAAATATTTACTCACAAACGACAAGCACCTGGATCAGCACACAATCAAATTGTGTTTTGAAATTATAGCAAAAAGTGTCCCGTTTGTTTTAACTTAAAAAAACAACAAAAAAAACACAAGAAATACATTTACTGCCTTAGATCAGACGTAAACATGTGTTCAAGTATGGAAATGAGCAAATAAAAGTATCGTGCAAGTGGGCTGGCTTTTCTCATGCATGCTATGAAGTCTGACATTTAGAAAATGAAAGCCAATAATTAAATTCACTCAATAGTTTAGAAAGATTAAAAACAGACACAGAAATGACACCCGATCCCTTCAAAACAGACTAGTTGTGTTTAGAAACTTGGGTTAAAAACTGCCTAGTCATAAGATGCTGATGTTGGAGGGCAGGAAGCCTATCTATGTTTTCATGATCAAACAAACATAAAAACGTTTTTATCAAACGCTACCAAAATATTTCCCTGAAATTTGTTTAGTATAAAAAAAAAAAAAAAAAAGAAGAGAGGCATTCACCGGTAGAAAACAGAGCTTGGGATTATACGGCCAATTACATTTCATCTTTTAGATCCATATTTTTGTTACGTTAATGCTTTTGTTTAACATTTTATGGTAAATGTTTAAAAGACGATTCAAAGTTGTTGTCCTGCAGGGATAGAAAAACCAAACACTCAATGCCTCATATCTCAGAACTGCTCCACACAGAAAGAACTGTATAATGCCAAGCATTGTGAAATATGTGAGCTGAACTTCCAAGATATATGCAGTCAGACAGTGTAAACTAAAAATAATTCACAAACACCACCTCATACTCCAGCCTTTCTCCTGCAGATGAAGGCTGGAGTCTTCCGATGGACAGGCGACATCAAGGGGAGAAATACATCTCTTTGGTCAGCATTGACACAATGCATGGGATTTGTTTCTTTGCATCAAAGCCGGGTGAATTGGAGACAGACTTGAACTCTACTGCCACCTTGTGGTTCACTCGAACCATGATGTGCTGAAGCTCCAATTCTTTTCCATATGTGGTGATCATGTCACACAGCGACTGCATGAACCAGGACCCAGACATCGTGTTCCTCCACGAGTAGTAGCCTGTAGGCAGTAAAGGGTCCATCAATATAATAAGTAAAAAAGGGTAACAATTAGTCTAGAAAAGCACCTGTGTGTATGCGTGAGTGAGTATTAACCTGGGGCTGTGGAGAAGGCATAGAGGAAGTCTGCTTCTACAGGGATCCTGGTAGTGCCGTCTTCTCCACTGTCTGCTTCAATGCCTGCGTCCAGATCGGTGCCTCTGCAAGCCTACTCCATGTGCACACAAACAAAAACAAGACCAGGTTAAGACATTTTAGCAAAGTCCAAGGGGAGAAAAAATAAATAATAAAAAGACAAACTCTTACAATACCTGGATGAAGAAGAGTTTGGGCTTTCCAACCAATGATTTGCAGTGATCACCTCGAAAAAGTGACGTCAGATACCTTAGCTTGACTGAGCCATCGGTACCGAAGAACACGCCCTCGTCGCCATGACTCAACAGAACACAGACAAATGAGGCGTAGCAGCTGTGGTCTTCCTTTGACACTAAATTAAAACAAATAGGATTTAATCTTTAATACGCAATATGAAAGACAGCAGCTGGTATTTGTGTGTGTGTACACATTTTCTAACAAACTTACCAGATGTTAAAACCTGCTTCATCTGGTCGACTGACTGGTCATTGTAAACCTTCACTTTATAACCCAACTTCCCAAAAACTTTCATCGCGTTAGCTGCATCCACATCTGTACCATTTCGTTGATTCATGCCTTTAAAAACAAAAAGCAACACAATGAAAACAAAACTTAATTTTTAAGGAACCAACATCTTCCCTCCCCTTATGCAGATTTCACCATTATGACGGACTGTAAGCAGATTGTATGCAAAGCACATTTGTTTTCCTATCATTGTACTGCCACACACAGGTGATTGTTTTGGTGTTCAGTAGTCTGTATTCATTTTTAAGATTCTGTTGTTCACAGAGCCAGGCATTCAGGCCATTCTCCTAACAGACTTTTTTTGTTCACGCTCAACCTGCACAGACCTGCACGGTGACGGTGGGATTTCCGAGCACACCTTTTCTGGTTACCTCACATAAAGCTCCACATATCTTCACCCCAATCAGCCAGAAAAAAAGAACACCTAAACAGGTGTAAATAATGAGATGATTGCTGGCTGAATAGCATTCGCACCGTCATGGATGACTGGAACATTTGAATAGAACAGAGCCATCGTTAATGTCATTAGTAACACCTGTGCTTTCCGGCTATGACGAGTCAAAATGTCTGTCTTAGGAGGGCACAACCATGCTGTGTGCCGTCAGACTACATCGTCTAGCTCCCGTGTGTTCAGGATTGAACACCTCTCTAGTCTGTTAGCTACAGTAACTGTGGTCCATCTGTTTTATTTTTAAGAGTGGAGCTGTGGACCACACCTATCCTGCTAGCTTTTTACACAAAGTCTGATTGGCTCTTGCACAACATGCTGCAATATTCTTGGAAACATGCATGGGGATTAGAGAAAGCACATATTTACCATAACAGGAATCTATTCTCAGTTGAGCAGGCCTTACCACCCCACTCATATGATTTACTTGCTCTTGGAACATTGTTGACCAAGCAGTCATGTGTAGTCAGTTAGTCCTGCTCGACAAGTTTGTCAAACACAAGTCTGACGGCAAAATAAGACAAATCGTACCGTAACTTATGCAAAGCAGACTGAAGCTGTATTCACTGATATCAAAGGTCTTCTCAGACAGATAATAGAGGCTCTTTCAAACATGGCATAGACTGTTCTCACACATTATCTCCAACTATTGTAGACATCAGGCCTTTTGTATCCAAAAAGAAGTAACATTCCCTTATAGATCCTTAAGGGGCAGACATGGTGATAAGTCACAAAAAGATTATGAACACCAAAAAGACACGTGCCAATTCTGCTGTCTTACTGCATCCTGCCACAATACCCAAGTGACCAATTCCATCAAACTTGAAAGAGGAAGTAATGAAACCGTGGGTTCACATGTGATGCATGCCAAGTCACTGCATATTATGTAGATGCCTGAACTTCCCGAAGAGCCACTGACAGTTTGCTGCACTGAGAGTTATTGAATTGTCTTAATCAAATGCAATGATGCAGAGAGAAGGAATAGTAAAACTGCCTGCTTGTTCTCATTTTCAGTAAAGGACACAGAGCCATCGTTATATAATTAACTGGCATGGGGTTGCAGTTAAACGGGATCCACAGCAACAAGAGTAAATTGGGACCCCGAGCACACTCGTCGTCTCATGAAAGGTGTGGATGCGAGATGATTGGCCCGCTTTGCTGAACACCGAGATGTCCGTCTCCGTTTAAAAGAACTTTCATGGAGCTCACACATCTCCAAGTCTGACGGGGGATATCCTCGCGGAATCTACCTTAACTGAGGTTCACTCGTGTACACCCAACTGGACAGGGACGCCACAGACACCTCTCCAGCCAGCTGATCCCTTACTCCTAATGAAATATTTAACGGTGAACATTTGAGGCATCTGACCAATTAGCCTTAGACTCATCTGTTGCTTTAGTTTAGATTAACTGAACATTTCAAAAATGGCACATACTTAAATCCCCAGTGTGGCTTTTTCTCGATTGCGGGAAAATAAAACTTGAACCCAACAAGAGAGAATAAACATATCACAAAGGGAAGTCATTATTTTCATTACCTTGGAACTAGTACTATAAAGTACTTTTTTAATTACTTTGAATAGATGTTATCACCAGATGATTCTTTTTTGACTTATTATGAAAAGAGTTTCAGCACCAAGTAATACCAGAGATTACATTTAAACCTGGTTCTGCATCAAATATAATCGTCTACAGTGGTAATATGTATTCACAGCAGATTCACTTATACGTTTCATCTTAAGGTAAAATATAAAACACCTGTTCTTCTGTCAAAGTTCTTGTTGTTGATCACGATGCACTGGCCGATGCTGGGGAAGTTCAGACTGTATCTGAAGCTGTGGGAGGTGGGCTTGGCGTCCACGTCCACGGAGCCAGACGCAGACAAAGACAACTCTGACCTGAGGGACAACGAGACCATAAAACCAACATGTAATTTAACTGCGATAACAACACGCTGTACGTAATGCTCGACAAAGGGCTAAGGAAGCATTTAAAGGGTCGCAGGCCTGTGCTTCATACATCACGAGTGACTCAAAGCTGGTCTAACGTTACAGACTTACAAACAGCTGATGTGTAATAATAAGCGGGTGTATTAAAATATGCTAATAGCTTGCTCATCTCTGCACGCCTGCTGACTTGGAGAGGACGAACAATGGGCTGCTGATAAACATCGCTAACTAGCTATCAGATAAATAAACAAACCGTGACTCACTGTTGTCCGTCGCCACTCTTTGCGTCTGTGGAGTCTTCACCGGGTCCGTTTACCGACATACTTCTGATTCAGCTAATGAAGCTCACAGTGAAATGACACACCCTGTGTATGATGCACGGTAAAAACCAAGCGGACGACTAATGCTAGCTGCTAACATAAGAGACTAAGCTAGCTGCGCGCGGCGAATAGAAGATGCTGATGTCACGCGCAGCGGCGGAGATCCGCTCGATTTAAAGCCCAACGCCTCCAAGTGACGAGGGGCGGAGCCAGGTTCAGGAAACGGAACACTTTGTGGTTTTATATTGTATTTGTGTATTGTGAATATAGTTCTGAAATGACATCTAATTAAGGATCAGTTTAAGAAATATAATACATTGTTATGGACTTAACGATTCAAGATAATAAAATGTTCAAAACTAAAGTATCTAAAGCTAAAGTATCGGTGATGACACATAAATACAGTATAATACTTTGGAAGTGGCCATTTTGCACGAGTAATTTTACTTTTGTTTTGGAAAATCAAAAACACCAATATGCACTTAATTTCCATTCAGACTTTAATATTGTCAACCCCTAACACAATCCTGCTAAAGAAAACTGCATTGAAGGACACAAAAGGTTAAAAGTACTGTAAAACAGTGAGTCAATACATATGTATATTTTAACCAATGGACACATGTTTGCAATACTTAACATGGCTCAGGAAAAGTTGTCAAAACAAGCTCAACACTTCAGTGGCCAACATCAAGTAGGGCACTATACCTAATGCACTGTATGTTAGTGCAAGAACAAACGTGAGTCAATTGTGGGAAGCTGTGGCATTGTGACCATCTCCACCTTGCAGGCCAAAAACAAACTCAGCTGGAAAACACTGAAAGTGATGAAAAGGGTAGAAACTTCAGAAATTAGGAGCCACGGCTAAAAAAAATCAAGATTATACAAATGTTGAATGAGACAGAACAGACGGAAACCTGTAAAATCTGAAATCTAAGAGACATAGAGGAGGCTGTACATTCCTCACACACTCTTCAACCTGTACTTAAATGCTGTGTGAAGACACAGTAAATCAAACGAAGTGATGGTTCAGACCCAAACAAATGAATGTCATTTAAAATAAAGCTATCCTAGCTGGTAGAGGGTGACTCATGTAACACAGTATACATCCAGTACTGAGTAAACAATGAACCAAAGCAACAAAAAAATAAAGCAAAAGTGCATCACCGCCATTAGATTCTCTATCAATACAACCAGTTAATATCACAATTACTTTACTATTTAATATATTTATACAGAAATATAACCTTTTTTTTTGTGATCTTCATTTTCAGTACACTTGAATATAAAATGAAATTTAGATTTTTCATCAACCACACAGTCCTTCCATTCCAATGACAAACAACACAGACGCATACAATGACAGGTTTCAGTTTTTCCAGTTTTAGCAATGTCACTTCACACATTTCATTTTGTGCTACATGTATATATACGCACTGAGGCACTCTTATTGCTGTCCGTTAAAAAACTACACTCGCAAAACACGACGACTACAATACATCAAGATTAAAGCTATTATCGGTACGTTTGAGGGGAAACGGGAAAGACAAAGAGCCTCATATTTCACTTCAAATTTACTAGAAGCCTCACGCCAGTAGAAATCAGCACACAGCTCAGCTGGTGACTCTCAGTGTTTACTTTGAGAGCAGAATTTAAACCATTGATCTCAGCGTTGGTGAGGGCACACACTTCAGGTATGAAAATACAAGTCTGAAAATAGTGTACTTGGGTGGAGAATCAGAAAAGGCTGTTAATCTGAATAATCCGATCATCCCGTTCCCGGTCATGGTGTATCATAAAACACAGATTTTTTTCATCGGCTCTTGAGGTTCTACGGGACAGAATTATGGGATGGGACGACTTTAGAATGGGAACAAAATCAATTTAGAGTGTAATGTAGTGACTGTACATGTGATTTAGTCTTAAGCAACTCTTTAAAATGAATTGTTGGACAAAATACAAGGAAAAAAAAAAAATAGTGCCATTGGTAATTTTTTTACTTCATATTTCCATCGGTACTTATACATTTGTTACCACTATTTTAATTCATATAGTATTCAAAATGGTATCATATAAAATAAAGAACATATATTTTATTCAACTTAATGTGCTACATAGAAAAATTTAATTATTCTTCCCCAATAAAAAAAACCTTACAATTTATTGTTCTATAGTGAAAAGAAAGGTTAAAAAACAACTGCGTGTATATGTAATGACTTATGTGTAGACCCACAAATATTGTTGTTAAATGACCAAACCAGACTTAACGAGGCCTAAATATGAGGAGTGGTACAATCATAAGGAACTACTTTCACATCTCCTCACAGCTACCATGTATTTATGTATTTTACAGGGGAATTGGGAGGAAAAATCACAAACTGATTTTTGAATAGACTAGTTAATTGTAAAAATTAAAGAAGGCTAATATGTAGATATAGTATACCTCCAGAGTCCCAAACTACCATAAATTCAAAGGCAAACTTTGTATCATGTCTAGGTGTTTGTGACACTTCTAATTTTAAACCAGTGCAAAGAAAATTGTTCAAATACACCATTATTTACAAGAAACAGCATTCATCTGTCTTCTGGCATCTATGCATATGGTCTGAAACTGGTATAGTGAATTGTTACGGTGTTGGAATAAAACAACATTGGGCAGTGCTGGGGAAGCTTCAATAAATTCATTGCAAAAGTCTTAATCAGGAGTGCACAACAAAAACAAATGCATAAATCACATGTTCTGTAGTCGCTGACTCTCTACAAGCAAACCTTGTATATTGAAAGATGTCATCTGGATGAATTATGCTTCTGATAATAGTGCTTTTAAAGAAAATGCATAATGACATTGTTAGAATAACTTGCTGCCAGCTGCAACTCGAAGGCCAAAGAACCCTGGAGTGAGAACAAGCAGTGGACTAAGATAACCATCAGTGTTTGAGAGGCAGTGAGAGGGAATTCTGAACACTAATCAGCTGCAATGTTACAACAATGTTACAGTGTGCATCGTATCTGCGTTGAGGGTAAAGTCCAGATGCCCTTAACCCTGAGCAAATCACTGCTGGACAAGGGGGACCGAGTGTGTGTGGTGGGGGGGGGGGAGATCAGTTGAAGCTACGGACATTGAAGACAGGTTGATGTCAGGCTTGAATCCCCATTTTTAGCTGATGTAAGTTTTGTACACCACAGAGGAATAGAGGCCGACTCCACTGTCATCAGAAGAGGTCAGGGCACATGTCCCAGCCGCCCTGTTCCTTTGCCTCCCAGTAACCGCCCTTGTAGACGTGCAAGGTCTCTCCGGATACGGGGTCGTCCAACTTCTCGAACCACATTGCCGTGTAGTTGTCTGGATGAGTGCCTTAAAAGGAAAAACAAGAGGAACATCTTTCACAAAGAAGAAGCTTCAGCTGGACCTGAGGTGAGGGTTTAGAAGCCACTGAGCCATGACGAACACACCATGCTGAAATTAAGCCGATGGTTGACCGAAACCGAACAAAAGATGACAAATTATAGGTGAGCAGTCAATGAAATCACGGATTTGCTCCTCTGTGGAGAGAATCAGGCTCACAACTAATGCCCCGAATGCCCAGGACCACAGTAAACTGAGCAGCGACAGACACAATGCTACTCTAAAATATTCAAGTACTAGGTTTGTGCAAATTCTACATTGAGCTACAGGTTCCCTAAAGACTACCAACACAAATCTAAAGGAAATAAAACAGGGGATAATTGAGAGCAACACTGATGTTACTTGCTTTTGATTTGAGCTCCATAAAGACCTTCATTGCCTTCCACTAAGAGAGACCAAGTTGGACGTAAAAAGGGGAAACGGTTAACAGAAGGCTTCTTAAATCCAGATCAAATTAGAATTGCAAGGAAATGGGGAGATCATTGCACAGCATGTGTTATGTCATGATCAGAATACTTGCTTAGAGGTGATGGTCCATAAGGGGCTGAAAATAGAAGAATTAAGGATGAATCTTTGAGAGTTCAGACATAAAAAAGTTTGGGTATGAACTGAAGATGGTCGACACAAAGAGAGACAGCCAATCAAATGAAAGAGGCTACTTGCATGCAACGGGTATATAGAGATGAGAGTCCTCTGTGTCAGCTTAACCCCAGCACACAAAAAAAAATAAAAAGATGTGAATCTACAACTCAGTATCCAAAAAAATCCACACAAATATCGTGTTTATGTTCATTTTAGAAATGCTGTGTGTAGCATTTTAAGCAAAATACCATGACAGCTAAATATCTTTGAAGAGAGCATGAATATCTTTTACTTATAGTTCAGTTTCCCGTCCGAAAGGACTGTGTGACGAAAAGATAAAGCAGTGAACATATGCCAAATATAGTGTGAATTTACACCGATACTATTTATTTATTTTTTTTAATTTTTTTTTACGCGGACCTTTCTTTTAGGTGGCTCATCTACGTTTTGCTGCTGCCCCCTGTCCTCAGCAGGACACCACGTTGCTCCCGTGCTGGTACTCATGCAACCCCAACTTCAAAAACACCCAAACGATCCCTTAAGATGCCACACATAGCACCGTAAAAGCACATTATGTTCAGCTACGAAGTGATACTTGCTTTCATCAAAACCCTCATTTGCGTCTGTGCCAGTCTCCCTTGCATCAGCTAAATGGAACAGAAACGGATGAAAGGATGGTAAAAGTACTTCAAAGATGATGAAGGACGTTCCTGTTACATACGTAAACATCTTGAACATGTGTTGCTTTGCATCTAGAGCTAATATATATATAGCGTTGATCAAAGGGTGGGAAAAGACGGAAGAGAAGAGAGTACTTACTTTTCGAGGGTGAATCATTGATTGAATCCTCAGTGACAGCTTAGGGTTGAGACAAAGACAAGGTATTCCAAGACAGACGGAGTGGACAAAAGATGAATGGACAGAACAAACATTGGAAAGAAACACAAGACAAATAGATAAACTCCAAAACCAAGCTATTTCCTATCTTTTTTTTGTTTTACCTTCCTCGGGTGAGCTGGCTGCTTTAACAGCCTCCCTCTCCCTTTCTCGGCGGACGGTGCGCTGTTTCTCTTCTAGCCTCTGTTTCTCTGCGTTCGCCTCATCCCAGCGGCCGTCCTCCATTAACTTCTGGTCGGGGCGCCGTCGACAGTCTGTTGGCGCCACTCCCTCCTCAGGCTCATTGAGCGTCAAGGCCAGGGAGGAGAAGAAGTACATGTTCTCTGCCCCCTCTCTGTCAAGTCATCAACATAAAAAAAAGTTAGAGGCACGACAATTTATGAGCACATTCGACTTTCTCAATACCACCAAAACTCACGGTAAGGGGTTCTTTCTCCAGATTTCTTTGGCTTTGAGGGTCTGATAGACAGTCCTCTGTTTGCCTTCGGTGCCGTTCTCGCCTTTACTGCTCTGCATTATCCTGGAAAACTCCATCTTCTCATCCCAGGTTCCCGATAGCACGTAATGGGCCTTCCCATCCTTATCAGCTACTACTCCTGTTACCTGAGACACAAACACGGATTACATTGAAGAATGTAATCGCAGAGCCAACAGTAGGCAGTACTACAGCTCTGCCAATATTAATATAATGTTCAGTTTTTTGTTGATCTGTTAATTAGATTATATATCACAGGAGTGTGCTAGACTACATCATATTGAGAAATCCCAGATCCCTACTAAAAAGCCCCGGACCAATCTAGTCACATCATTTCCAAGGGATAAATCAGCTATTCTTTTTCAAAATATCCTTCTCATTGAAAGACAATTACACCGATAAACCAGGATGAAAACATCAACATTTCTGGCAATGGTATCAGTTACATTTTGGGGAAAAAAGCTCAATTTAAATGATTACAGTTTCTTAATCTTTGTGTGTTTTATAGACAGTATTGTGTGGCGGTGTGTTATGCATCTTCCTGTGAAGAAGCATAAAAAGCCCACCTTTCTTGGTACATCTCTGGAGAAGTAACTGTAGGGAGCAAACTTGAGGTGGCAGCGATCTCCCGTCTTGTGGTTCACCACATCTATCTCCCCTGACTAGAAAGGGGACAAAGGAAAGAGACAAAAGGTTTTGCTCTTGAGGACTTAAAAGGATACACGCAGTAGAATTTTAAGCGAAACATTCAATAAAGACATAATGTGGTTAAAGTTTAAATTTACCTGGTCAATCCATAACTTTCCAACAATGATGTTGTGTACAGTTGTAGTCACTTTCTTCCAAGAGTAGTGATTGTCGCTCTTGTCAAATAAGCACTGGATAGAACCTGAGGATACAGAGGGAATCATCTTAGACCCTGCTCATCTAATATATCACTGTCATATTTGGTCTTCACACACACTCACCCAAAGGCATGATCGAGAGATATTTTCCTCTAAACTTGCTGGCCAGGGTAATTTCTTGTCTGAGGTTCCAGCCCTTCTCAGAGCTGGCATGGTGAGCTGCAGCAGGTGGGTGGTGACTCACCTGAGAAGAGGCGAGTGACAAGAAGAGGGATCGCAAAGTCGTGTTTTGACCATTACAATTGTGAGATGTTTGAAGACGATTAAACTTGCTTGCATAAACATCCTTTACCTGTTCACAGAGGGAGCGGTAGCCACAATCTTTTAGCCGATCAAGCTCAAAGGTTTCTCCCAGCAGAGGATTGAAGGGTTTCCCCGTGCGGTGGACAGTGGTGGAGTACGAAGAGACTGTGAAAGCGGCCACATAACACATCTGCTCTAGAGAGCTCTGACATTTAGCAGCCTTATCCAGCAGCTCGTAGTACTCCAGGTCTTCAGACAGACGTTGCAGCATTGAGAGGGGCTCATTGAAATTCACCTAGTAGGTACATAGTCACAGAGAGAAGAAGTCTGATTACTTCTGAGTACTCTCACAAGCAAAGGCCACTTAGATACCAACAGGAGTACGTGTTTCTTACAGGCATTGGTATCTTTGAGAGCTCCTTTCCAATACAATTCTTCATGATGCTCCACAGATTGAGGTAATAGTTGGGCTTGTCGGGGATACGAGTCCGTCGTTGTCTAACAGGCTCCAGCTCAAGAGTCTGTGGCGACTCTGGGTTGGATGCCAAAGACTGTTCATCAAACTGGAAGAAGAAAAGGAAAATAGCTTTCCAGGTCAAGTGACTGTGGCATGTTGACAAGCAGAGGAGAGGACAAATCAATACATCAAAACTTGCTCGCAAAAAACGAACTTAACGCACATTTACTGACTGATCGTCCATTCCAGTCTCACTGCTGATCCCACTGATGTTGCTGCCAGATCTCCTGACGGACAGAGAAGCAACAATTAAAACAAAGCAGAGCACAAGGAGGCAAAATAACAACAACAAAAACAAGGTCGATATAAAGAAATAAAATCAGACAGTTAACAACCTGTGATACTTGGGGTCAGCAGGGACAGTGATAAACGCTGCTGGGTCCTCCATAGCATCAAAGAACTCATTGTCATCATCCTCGTCACTGGCATCACCTTTTACTGGACCACCACCTAAGGTGAAGACAAGATGAATAAATGACTAAATGGCTCAACTGGCCTCACTTGAACAGGGTCCTAAGACAGAAGTGCAGTTGGGGATGAGAACCGTACCTTTGTTAGCTAAGGCGGGATTGCTGAATGAAGGGGGGAGAACTGTAGCTCCTCTGAAAGCTCTTTCCAGGTGATTGTGCTGTTTGGCCAGCTGCTCCAGAGTCTCCTCCAGCCGTATCCTTTGGTCTCGTTCAACCTGCAAGGCCTTCTGCCAGCGCTTACTGTGACTCTGGGCCAGGGAGAGGAAGTCTCTACACGCCTTGGGGAACACGCAAAAAACAAGAGCAACGTTTCGACAAAAGGAGTCAACGACAATGTTTATCAGCAAATGAACACTTGGTCGGCTTACGTTAATCATGGCGTTAGAGGTGATTCTGAACAGTGTGGCTCTCTCTGTGACTTGTCTCATCTTTTCCCCCATGTCTCCTGCGACACGAATCCCCTCCAGTTCTGACAAAGACCTGTGTGTGAAATCAAGGGATGAAGGAAATAGGCAAACAAAATGAATAAAGATAACATTGTTTTTCCTAAAGCAGTCAGACTGCTCAGTCTGATAATCGATACCTTTGGAGGGCCGACCCATGCTTGACAATGAGATCATTGCAGGTGTTGAGGTCCTCCACCTTGCTGCCGAGTGTGCGAAGTGTGGACTGGATTTCTAAGTTACGGCAGCCTCCACTCTGTCCCGAGGTGGGGGGCGCTGCGGGACAGTCGTCACCCGAGTCATCTGAGGGAGAGAATGGGTCAGAGAATGTGACCAAAACCAAACAGACACAAGGAGAAAAGGCTTCACACACATACACAGACAAAAACACACATTTCTGCCTGACATAGGTGATATTGTATAAGCTGATCAGACTTTTCTACACATGTTCATGTTCCGGCTCCTACATTCTCCAACGTATTTGTTTTCCCTCTCACCAGATTCAGCCTGCATGTGGACGGCCTTTGCCTTGGCGAGCTCCAGAGCAGTGATCCATCGCTGCCGCTCTACTTCTGAGCTGGCCTTCAAGTGGTAGGTCTGCGCGCCTCCGTTGGAAATGACAAAATTGCAAGAGTCCTCCACGGCAATATTGGCTGTGGCCAAGTTGATGGTGCCTCTGCATGTGTGACCCATCTCTGCCTGGGTCCTGCAGACAACAGAATGAAGGACAGTCAAATATAGATCCCTGTTTTGGGAAGTCATTATTTTATTTCTAGTAAAGCACGTGTTTAAAATTGTGCATACAGTATGCAATACAAGTACTACTTTGAATGCACTTTTCATTTAAAAGCTAAATTAACAGCCAGGGAAAACCCTTCAATTCAATTTCAAATAATTCCAACTTTAGTCATATAAATGTAACTTACCTGTAATAAGACAAAAGTCCATTGCTCAGAACAAACCAGCGTCTCTGGTAACCTTTAATGTAGTTCGTCCATTTGAAGAGCCAACCCTTGTACATGTCTCCAGGGGTTGGAGTAGGGGGCTTAGGCTCCGACATCACAACAGACTGTAGTTTCACTGGGTGAAGTTATGGCCTGTTGAGGATGAAAATAATCAAGATTTACATTGCTATTAACTGTTGGATATTGCTACTATTCAGCCTGCTTAATGCACACTTGAAACATTAAATTAGGGCTTGGCTATATGGAGAAAATCGAATATCACAATATCTTTGACCAAATACTTTGATATCAATATTGCGATGATATTGATGCTTTCACAAAATATTTACACAGTGAGATTTTTGATATTTACACATCAGTACTGTGGATTAAATGTCAGTAACCTTCCTGCTCTCACCTCAGTTTTCTTTATAGTTTAAACTGAATGTTTAATACATCAGAAAAGTTCAGTTGACCTTATGTCCACATCAGTAATGTGAACATAATTAGTAATTGGGTAAATAAAAAAATAATATAACCGTCTGGTAAATTCAGAAAATCACATGACTTTACTTTAGCCCAGCTCTAGCGCCACATGAAATGTAAGCACAAACTAGTCCTGCAGGTTCTAAAGACACCATCCTCAGTGTATATTGGCAATGTCAACAACTTAAGATGCTAGTTCACTGTGTCATGCTATTGTGACATAAGCTAAATTAAATTATCATTAGATAGATAGATACTTTATTCATCCCGCAAGGGGAAAAATAAAAGCAGCAAAAATAAATAATTAAGTTTTAAAAAATGCACAATGTATACAATAAAATAGATTATTAAATTAACTAACTAAACAAAACATTAGCCATACAAGGAATAACGATGTGTTGATTTAACTTATTAAACAGACAGGCCACTTATCTCCATAACCATTAGCTCAGTAAATGACAGCTTAAGTTTCCTGAATATTTAATTTAAAGTGAAAACATGACATCGACACATAAATACTAGTACGGTTTCTATCGTTTCGTTTTCACCATTTAACTAACAGCTTCGATTCAACGTTAACATGGAATTTGTTTAGCTAACGTTTTTGACGTTACTGCATCGTAAAAACACAGCTTCCTACCGATAACAGTCCTATAAAACACACCGGTTCCTCGTCGAGATGACGCACAGGAGTTACGTAAACACAACCAGGACACTGGTGTGAGGTACTTCGAGGAACAAGAAGCCTTTTCCAAACATCGAAGGTATTTAAAACAGTGTCCGTGTCACTAAGCTCGCTGCTAGCTACACAAACAGGAAGCTGTCAAACCAGCCTGACACGTCCCACGTACGCGATGCTAACGATCATTTCTGATGTATCTGGGACATTAAGACGTGATTACATTACTTTACCGTGCGAGACTTCAGCTGTTAACGTTGCGCATGTCGTGTCGGGTGACGCAATGTCAGCTCACCAGTGTTAGCTTTGCTAACTACTTTCATGGATGTATTAAGGACGTAGGACAACAGCTACTTTGCTACAGGTTTTTCTTCTTCTTCTTCCATTTACGGCAGTTGGCAGCCAAGACTTTGCGTTACTGCCCCCCTCTGGTCATATTCTGTATTGAATAGTCTTTATTGATGTCCATGTAAGTCGTCCAGATAACTTACTCTCGTAAAACCAAATATATATATATCTAATATACTTAATATTTTTTTATTTCATTTATTGGTTTATTTAATAAGGGACAGTGCACATTAATAAAAACGTTGCTGTAAATGCGCCAGAGTTAGCCAAGAGGCTATTTTTCATCTGTAGTCCCAATGCAGATGTTACAAAGTAAACCTAAAAACAGAATATAACATTCAATTTACAACGTTATGCAATATTGACCCTTTACAATGTATGTACAAATAATGAAAGAAGTGAGAATATTAATATAAGTAGTATCATCATTCAGGAAACTCTTATACTACATTGTCAAGTACTAACAAGACATGCACACAGAGGCTCTCAAATTCAACACACACAAAGCAAATAAAATGAGGGATAACTATGTTAAATAGAAACATGGATTAAAGGCAATATTATGCTGCATTATTAGACACTAAAAAATATGTCCACGTCAGAGGCACAAAACAAAAGAATGCAGAGCATGTGAAATATATAAATCAGTCAGACACAGCTAAACAACAACAAAAGAAATGCATGCAGGTAACAATTTCTTTAATTGAGCTTTAAAGTTTGTAGTTCTCTGCATGTCACCATATGCTCCACTGTCCCTTTTTCATGATGTTGTCCATCAATGAATAATGTACTATAGTGTCCACTCCTCAACCTGCTTATTGTTGCTTATTTACTTAGTTCCTCTGTGTCTTACCTACTTTATTTGTGTTGCAGTATCACAGTACTGTTGCCACTGTTGATACATTTTCCCCTCTGGATTTGAAAGTTTCATAATAAATGAAACAACTTGTTTTTGACCACGTCTTCTGAATGTGTGAGGACCCACACACACATATTTCTCCCTTGACTAACTCATTTGTGGATCCTTTGATCCATAGGTAAACATCTGTCCCTACTGTAGTATTCACAAATTACATCTGTGGTTTTGTTACTATGCTTTTATCTTCAGCAGGTCCAGATCTACACAATAATGTTGAAATTCCCACACAGGTCTGAGAGGCCATACCAGTTAAAGAAATGAGATAAAACTGAAAAAGGACACCCTGCAAAATATCACCAGTCATGTTATCAAAGAGCTGCAAGGCTGTCATCTATTACAGTATGGAAAAAAAATCAACCCTATTTAACAGTTTCTAATTTAAATATGTATATTCATAATGTGGAGTTATATTCTCTGATTTACTGTTAAGTATTCAAAGACCAATAAATATATTATTGAATGTATTTCTTACACATTGTGTATAATTGTAACTTTTAGGATGAGACCATAGCAGTGGAAATATTAACCTGGGTTTAAAAAAGATTATTACACAATGTGCATTTTCAGTGTGTTAATTTTTGCACTATTTATTTACTTTGACTTTAGTGAAAATAAAAAAAAAGCTGAAATAATTTGGCTATACTTTTAGTATTTAAAATCAGAAACCAAATGAATTTTAAACCTTTTTGAAAAATACTTCTTCGTTGTTCATTACTGGATCTGCGACTTACTTACTTACCGGCCACAATATGTAATGTGCATGAAACTAACCAACGGCCTTTACAATTGTTACATTAAACACATTTAGCTTCTCATTAAAATAATATTTCCATCCTGAAAATAGTTACTCTTCACCTTCTACATTAGCGACACAGAAAACAATAAAACATCTAATTTGTGTTCATTTTATTGGACAATTGTTTACTACAACAACAAAGCTTGTATGAAGTAGGCATTTACTTTACTTAAAACATCCTGTGTGTGTATTAAGGAATGTGTATGCTTGTGTTAAAGATAATTCACTCTCCCCCCAGACTTATTTGGTGATGGTATTTGCATTCATACTTTTCCCACCCCCACTAAGCACAATATACGGGGTTTTCTGAGATTTCTGCTTCTCTTGAAGCAAAGCCACCGTCCCGAGAGGAGTATCACTGCTGCTCATCTTCTTCAGCAGGGCCTCTTCCTCCAGCTTCTTCATCCTCCTCTCAGTCTTCATCTTTCCAGACCCTTTGCCGTGGAATCGATGGGAAAGCTGCCGGAAGGCTTCTTTTGGAGTGAGCCTCCGCCCAGATTCGTCCACATACTCGATCTTGACCTCAGGCTTGTATCCATCCTTGTCCTTGAAATCCTGCGTGAAGCCCCTGTACTCTTCTCTGCGACTGTACTTGTCATCGAAGCCCATCTTGTCCTCGATGCAGTAGTTGTCGTTGGGCAAGGCGCCTTTTGTTGCTCTGACGCGGGATATCTTCTGCATTTCAGTGTCCAATAGACCTTTGTTCTTGCACAAATGCAAGGCAGCAGCAAGACCGGAGCTGACAATGGGCTCTTCATCCAAGATGGTGGCAGAGGCTGTAGAAAAATCTGGTTGTTTCTGCTCTTCATCCAGGTTAACCATGCTCCATCCAATATTCTCGTCCAGTTCTGAGTCTGAATCTCCAGCATCGTCTTTCTCTTCCTTCTCTTCAAAGTCCATAATGTCTTCTTGGTCCTCTCGGTTGCCTGACAGTCCATACGTTGGGATATCACCCAGGGTTCTGCAAAACTCTGAGGTGGCGTTGAAAACAATGTTGTTCTTCCGCTCAGGATCATTTTCACCGTCGCCTTTATCGAGCTCTTTAATCTTCTCCGCCACCTTCTCCCCGGAGTCTTTGAGAAGCTGCCGTTGCTTCAGCTTCCTCTGCTTCTCCAGCTGTTTCTGCAGTTCCTGCTCGGCCTCGTCCTCCTCAAATACAACTGGCTCAGCAGGAGTAAAGCCTTCGTCGTCACTCATCTCCATTTCTGCCATCCTAACATCGTCGGACATTCGGGGGGTATCGCTGATCATTATGCTCTCCTCCTTAACCTCCTCGCCTTCTTCACCCAGCTGTTTGCGGCCACGACCGCGTGTCCTGGAGCCAAAATCGGTGTTGCGAGTGTCATCGATGTGAAGCTCGTCTGCAGCTGTCTGCTTCTCCTTCTTCCTGATTTTCCTCACACGGTGTTTGGTCTTTTTGAAGCCCGTCATTTCCTGAGGTGTGTAATACTCCGAGGCGATGGCGAGAGCGGGCATGTCCAAGGACTGAGCCTGATCTCGTAGAGCCTCTCTCATGGCTTGAATCTCCCGCTCTCGCTCCCCATCGGCAAAGCCCCCGGTATTCAACCGGAAACTCTTCTTCTTTTCACCCTCAATTTCCTCGTCATATTTCGACAGCACAGTGTGGGGCTTCAACGTAACCATGTCGTCCACACTCTCCTCTTCTTCGTAGGGCTTGTATTCAGGCTTTTTCTTTTTTAACTCCACATTCTTTTCGGCTTTCTCCTTGTCCACCATTCCCACGTTCACCAGCACATCTTCCTCCTCCTCGAGTACACCTTTGTCTTGCAGGGTGAGGATGACAGTTTGGCCCTCGTTGAAGGAATCCACCTTGTGCTGCACTTTGAGTCCCTTTAGATCTTGAGATGTGTACGGATCCTTTTTGCGGTGTGCAAACTCCTCCTCCACCAGACTGCTGACACCAAATTCCTCATCCATCTCTTCCAGGAGTTTGGCTCTTTTCTCCGCCAATTCCTTTTCTTTTGCCATATTTCGGCTTCTCTCAACCCACGCAGCGGTGTCATCCAGCCAGTCTTCCTCTGCTATGGTCTTGACTTTTCCCAGTTTCTTGTTCTGGATGCGTTTTTCTTTCATAGCTGCAAGCTTCTCTCTCATGTCTTTCTGCTTTTTAATGAGAACAGGGTTGATGGTCTCCGCCACCAATGGGTCCTCTTTGGTGCCGAGCTCCTTCTTGTTCTCATTTAATTCCAGAGGCTTCAGACCCAGCTTGGCTCTGAGTTTGTTTGTCTCCTCGATGCTGAGGGACGCGTCTCCGCTTGCAGACAGGGGTGCCATTTCTTTGTTGCCTTCTTCGTAGCCAAGATCGACTTTCTCTTTCTTCACTCGTGGCTCGCCGGTGCTCCTTTCGCCTTTGATCCGGTCCCGTCCGCTTCTTTCACGGGACCTGGAGCGTTTTCGTTTCTCTTTATCACGAGTCGCATCCCGGTCTGAAGCGTCTCTCTCTCGGTCCTTGTGGCGATGTTTCTTGTGTTCGCGACGGCGCTCTTCCGTGTCCTTGTCGCGACTCTTTTCCTTGTGTTTCTTGGACGACCCCATTATTTCCTAAGCAGGTTACAACAGTTGTGACTAAAAAAAAACACAACTGTTATCAAAATGTTCTTGTTAACACAGTGTGTTTGATGACGGGAGGAGCAATGCTGCTGCTTTTCCTTCGCTGACTAGCTCACATTAGCTTTGGAGGCTAAGTGGCTAACGGACGACACGACTCACGCAGTGCGAAGGCAAAAATGGTAGCTCGGGTTCACAATCCGATGTCAATCGACGATGAATGAGGATGTGGGAAAAATACTTGGCTCACGTTATTTGTTTTCTTCACACCAGCTTAACCACTTCGCTCCACGTTCAGGTACACAACTCTCGACGCCGTCAGACGAACACTGAACGACAATATTACAGTTTCCTGCTAGGACTTCTTCTTCTTCTTCTTTCAGTTACAAACCAACGTTTACGGTGCATGCCGCCACCTACTGTACCGGAAGTGTGTAACATCATGACTTTGTGACAATTATCATTAAAATTAAATGAAATGAAATAAAATTATTTTGCTTCTGACCTCCCAAAACAAATTTCTAAAATATTAACTCTTTTTGCAACTTTATCTGCAACCTCATTTCCCTCTATTCCAACTTGAGCCGGTTCCCAACCGAAGTGTACATCTATTACTAAATGTTGTAAGTTCAGTAATGACATATAAACTCCAGATCCTCTCGTACTGTTTGACCAGAGTGTATAATATATAACTACTTTCATTGGTTTAACCTCCTCCACCCACTGAAGACTGATGATTACTGCTGTCAGTTCGGCTGTGTACACTGATAACCTGTTTGAAATTATTTTAACAATTCCTTTGTTGAATTCTGTAATGTATATGCACACTCCTACATGATTATTATCCGAGTGTTTTCATCCATCTGTAAAAATATTTAGATAATTACAATAGCTTTTCTTCAGGTAATCTTGAACCAAGTATCCAATGTTTATTTATTTTTTATTTGTAGTTGTTGATTTTACTAAATTATTTCACTATATATATATATATAT